GAGGCAACTCCATACTGTATTCCACGGTGGCTGTACCAATCTGCGTTCCCATCAGTAGTGAACTAGTGTTCCTTTTTCTCCACATCCTTGCCAGCACTTGTTATTGATTTTTTCATAGTAGCCATTCTGACAGGTGTGAGGTGATATGTCATTGTGGTTTTAATTTGCATTTCTCTGCTGATTAGTGATTTTGAGCATGTTTTCATGTGTCTCTTGGCCATTTGTATGCCCTCTTTAGAGAAATCTCTATTCAGGTCATCTGCCCATTTTTTAAATTGAATTCTTCTTTTTGTTGAGTTGTATGAGTACTTTTTATATTTTGGATATTAACCTCTTATCAGATGTATCATTGGCAAATATATTCTCCCATTTAGTGGGTTCCCTTTTCAATGTGATGGTCCTTTCTTTTGCTGTGCAGAAGCTTTTTATTTTGATGTGACCCATTTGTTTATTCTCTCCTTAGTTTCCTTTGCCCGGGAATGTTTACTCGGAGGGAGCTTCCAGGGGCTGTAATCCGAGGCCTGCATTTGCCTCCCAGTTTCCATTTCCTAGCTGCATTCTTTCCGGGAGGCTCTTGCTTCAGCTTTCCCCTCTCCGACTCCGCCGCCTGCAGATGGTGGCTAATCACCTCCAGCTGTACTGGCTCCTGCTCTGCTGGCCGCCCTGCCTGTGACAGGAAAACAAGGCCTCAGGACGCCAACTCACTCAAAACGGGTTTCCAAATATATTTTTTAAAGACTTTAAAAATCGATTTTTAGACAGGAAGGGAGAAGGAGAGGGAGAGTTTAGGGCAGTGGTTCTCAACCTTCCTAATGCCGTGACCCTTTAATAGTTCCTCATATTGTGGTGACTGATTTTCATTGCTACAAATTAACATAATTAAAGCATAGTGATGAATCACAAAACCAATATATAATTATATATGTGTTTTCCAATGGTCTTAGGCGACCCCTATGAAAGGGTCATTCGATCCCCAAAGGGGTCGTGACCCACAGGTTGAGAACCGCTGCTGTAAGTAGTCTAAATTGTCCCAGTGAATGTAAAGTAGCAGACCACTGTCATCAAACCTCACAGCCATCCTTAAGGGTGGAGGCCGGGGTTGCGGGGTCATGGAGCTGTAGGGAATTGGGGGGTTGAATGTCACCCAGAGCTTTTCCTCCCAAGGGCCAATTCTGTTCTGCCTCTCTGGGGCTGTACAGGGGGCCGGAAGCAGTTCTTCCACTAACAGGCAGGCAGGTCTCAGCTGGCTCATCCTTGTTCTCTTTTCTCAAGAATACCTTTGAAAGTCCAGTCTTCCCCCATTTTACATCATTCACTTCTGGCTGACAGGCAATGCACAGTTCTTGCCATCACACTTCCGGGTGCATCTCCATTGGTCTGAAGAGTTTTGAACACCTCTGAAGGTTGCACAGACAGCAGGCCTCTCTTTGTCAAACACCCAGGAAAGCTGGGTCTGGATTATGGCTGTAGCCCTCCCTTGCAGGCCTAGGGACCTTCCTTGGAGTCTCTCAAGTGTTGCACCTCACTTTACCCCCACCCAAGGCTGTGTGACTGGCCCCAGCTCACCCTAATAGTGGATGATGGGACTGCAACTGAACCCAAACCCAAGTCCAGAACCAGGCACCTAATCTGGGGTAAGCACATCCTATGGGTTCATGCTGTTAAAGTCACTGGGCACCATAGGTCTGTCTTGGGGGTACTGGAAAGTTAAAGCATTGGACCCCAATCTCCCGAAGTCCTCAAAGGCAGGCACTGAACCACAGCAACACAGCCAGGCTTCCGAGTTTTTATTTTCTGTTTATTTTTTGACTGTGAAGATGAGACTCAACAAGTCACAAAGGAAACTCTTCTGCCCTGAGCCAGGTGTCCCGCTGCAGAGGCAGGTGGGAGGCGAGGCCCCGACCTGACCAGAGTCTGCGGCATGTTTTTCAGAGCAGGAGAACTTTTTGACAAATGTTGACATTGTACAGTGTAAACAGAGACTTGGCTAAACAAGCCAAGATGAGCAGGGCCAGGTTCACATCTCGTGTTCCTGCTGCTCTCTCTCCCTTCCCAGCCCCGCCTGCAGCAGGAGAAATACCAGGGCAGGTGACAAGACCAAGACATTTCTATAAAAGCAACGGAAAAGAGCAGATAACTCATTAAATACATTCATTTTGGCTCTTTGTTCCAATATCTAAATACTCAGAAGTAATCAGAGTGAACCTGAAAGGGAGGGATACCATACTCTAGCACCATTTATGCGAAGGCATTTTTCAATATAATACAACTGTTAAAATTAAATACAAAATTACTTTATTAAGTTCAACTACAGGGAAACGACTGCTGACTTGATATTTCAAGCCCGGACCGGACCGTTTCCCTGCTGCTACCCATGTTTTGGCATTTTCATTCCTGACCCAGACTTACACCCAAGAAACCAACAAGACTGAGATAAAACTCCAGTCAATGTTCTCCATTAATAGCTCTGGCTATTAATAAGCATTTGAAATATTTAAATATACAGGTGGCCATAACGCCTGGGAACAGAGACACATACAATAAATAGTTTGTTGATATAACATTTCAATACAATTAATGTATTTTCAGATTCAATGGCCACTCTTTATAGTTTAATTATACACATTAACCCATTCCACCATTCCCAGTCATAAAGTTCAATTTACCATGAAAAAAATATATAAATGGGACAGCTCCCCTCCACCCTACCCTGCTGGGTCCCCTGCTGTAGGTCTCCGGACATAAGGCAGTCACTATATGACTTCAGCACACATACATTTACATACATGTACGTGCTTGCATGCACACACCCCTCCGGGGCATGGCGAGCCCACCTTGCTCCCAATGCTAATGCCACTAGGGTGCTGGGCAGGCAGTCAAATTAGTTTGGTTTTGTGCTTTCCATGGTTCCAGGTTATAGATAGAATTACACAAATGTTAAAAAGAGGTGCCCATCTTTATTCTCTGTACAACTCAGCACTGGCTCCCTGGTCTCTTCACCCCTCAGAAATTACCCATGAGGTTGCCCAAAGGCATTAAATGTTACACTTCTGTTACATGGGGACTTAATAAACTTTAGAAAAAGGAATTTGCAGAATCCACCCACATAAATCCTTCCTCCCTTTCAGACTTGTATTCTTTTATAACTTAAGCCCAGGAGGTGTGCAAGGCATCTGTTGTTTTGTTTCTATGTCACATTTAATATCTAAACTCAGTCCTC